TTCATTTCATTTTATATAGTGGATAACTTTTTATGTACAAAGTTAGATAATTTGAATTGTTTTATCTGTTTATTAATTCAAAATATTATCTATATTTATAATTTTTTAAATTGTTACCTTGTAGTATTTATATTTGCTTGTTAATCTTATATTTAATTTTGACAAAATCTTTTTATGACTGCATGTTCTTTCACTTCCTCTGTATCGAACGGTTGTACCAGCCTGGATTAACGGAAATGAAATAAATGAATGAATGAATGAATGAGGAAAATATCTGGACCAAAGAGGAAGAAAGTCACAGGAGACTGAAAATTGCATAATGCAAGCATTATAATTTATAATCTTTAAAGAAATATTATTAGAATGACCAAACAAAAGATGAGATGGCCAGTTCATTTATCAGACATACAGCTGACATGGGAACTATGTGCAACATTTTGGTTCGGAAGCCAGAAGTGAGGACTCCTCTTAGAAAATCTGTGCACAGATGAGTGAATATTAAAATTCATATTCAAGAAATATGTGATAAAATGTCACATGGATTCAGCTAGGTCAGGACAGAAACCAGTGGCAGGCTCTTGTGAATATGGTAATATACCTCTGGGTTCCGTAAAAGCAGATAACTTCTTGTGTAGTCAATGCAGTCAATGAGTTAGTTAATTACAAACATAAATAAACTTACCAATAACAAGTCCATTATATTTCACATTACCCAGATGAAGAATGGCTGCAAGTAATCTGACAATATTCAGTATTTCCTCATCAGAGAAGTTGAGCACTTTCATGGCAGATCTAACATCAGCAAACTCAGCAGCATCATCACGTCCATCACAAATCAAACTTTCTCCCTGGCAACAAGATAATCAAACACTGTGTACTACATATCATTATCTTGACAGTTCTTCAAGCAACAGAAATTGTCTGCTGGGTAAGTTACCAGTATACTGGAGGTCAAGTCCTGTGCTGTGACTGCCACTTTACTGCAGCTTGACTTTCAATAAGACATGCTTAGTCTGGACTCACACACTGCAACCCTTCTGGCAGTGAAGGCCATGCCAGTAACTGTGGTACTGTCAACACAGCCTACTGCTTAATTAAGAAATGCAATCACCTCAAGTGCAACAGGCCATGTGTAAGCACACAGAGTCTTTCAAAAATACTATCTAGTTTTAATTGCATATAATTACAAAGAAAACATCAGTGTATTTGGTGTCTCCGAGTTGAGTAGTCTCAGAAGACTGACAATTATGTCATTGTTTACATTCCTTACAGTACAGACAATACTTTGTAAGATGAGGCACCGACTAAACAATTAATATTAACATCTACATCACATCCTATACAATCTTATATATATATTAAAAAAAAAAATAGAATATCCCAATTTGTCCAGGGCAACATATGAAATTACATAAACGAACGACTGATTCAATGTTATAAAACATCAATTACAATTTTATTCTTGTTTTACAATATAACTTCTGTTTTATATAATCTGATTAACTGTATTTTTTATGTCAAGTGTTTTATATGATTAATAGTATTCTATCCACTTTAACAGTACTGCAGTTCAGTGGTGTATATATGTTTAACCATGTGTTTGCTTGATGATAGCTATTGGTAGCCGAAACATGTAGCAGACCCATAGCTGGGCACTGGCCTTGATATTTGTTGTGTTGTGACGGTTAATAAAGAGGTTGTATATTGTAACACAACAGGATGCATGAAATTAAAATGATTAATTAATTATTGATTATAATCAACAGATGAACATACTTCTAATCAGCAGTTTTAGGAACTCCAGTATGAAAATTCTGTATCATGTGCAAGCAATAAACTCACCCCTGTAAGATAAATATACTGTGATGCATCTTCCAGGCCCAAGGATTTCTTTTCATCCTGGCTCAGTCCTGCCAACATGCTGTAGAAAATATGGTAGTTACGTTCTCCATGGTTCTGTGAGACAATGCGGGACTTCTCGAGGAGGTACTGTTCAATCTGAGCACCTTCTATCGCCCCTTCACTGTTGAAGTTAATGTCTATGTACTTTCCAAATCTTGATGAATTATCATTTCGGACAGTTTTAGCATTTCCAAAGGCTAGGGATAATAATGGACAATTAATTATCATGGAAGTAAATAGTTCNTTTAAAAAAAATAAGTTCGGTTTCTTTTGGGTACCCCCGCGTACACAGTGAAACCTCCAATACAGTTCCAAAGAGCAAAGATTTCTATACAATGAGAAGACAGCCTAAGAAAAGATATAACATACAACATGATTCAAAATGACTGCCCCAGTTTCATTTATTTCTTATGAATAAAAGAATAAAACTAAAATGCACAATCAAAAAATTAAATTCAAAAGTATTTTTCATAATTATAAATCAGAAATCAATTATACAAGCAAAACAAGGAACAATATGGGAATGATATCACTAAGTAATGACATATTTTTGGAATGGACAAAACTCTGATGGCATAGAATAATTCTAAATGAGTTTGTTTCTTGAAGGACTCTGATCTATGTAACCAACAAACCTGTGACTGAATTCTGGATTTATTGAAAGTCTCTAGTATTGCATTTCAGTATCCTGTTGCACTGATGCATTACTTCACACAACTACTTCCATCCTTAATGCAATTTTACAATTACTCCTTAAATTAATTTTAATCCTAATTTTAATATTATTTTAAGTTAAGGAGTAATTGTAAAGTTGCATTAAAGATGGAAGTAAGTGTGTAAAGCGACAGTCTCTACAATTAATACAAATATGCTACTATATCCAGTCCCTCAACCCCACACTGCTGACTTGTATGTATGTAAGGGGTGGGCCATAAAAACTGGTCCTCGCACTGCAACCTTCAATGATCTATTGTGCTTATACTGCTGACTTAATTTAATACTGATATCAGGGTTAGATTTAAAGTGAAGTAACCAGGGTGGTCAGCCCAGGGGTTTCCACAAAACAGAAATAGAATCCAGATTTTATTAAGGCATCTGCTTCTCTAAAATCACAAAAAGTTAGTCTGTAATTTTAATTAATATAGGAAATAAAAACAAAAAAACTCTCATAACCTAAATTTGTTTTTACTGACAGCAGTCGCTGCATTTTGATTGCCCATGTCCCCACAACTGTAAATCTAGTCCTAACTGAAGTAAAACAAGGAAGGCATGTTTGCAACAGTAAAGACAGTTTCAAAAATATCTGCCATAGGCAAGTTACATTTTAGCTTTCTCAAGGCCAGAACCTTGTAGGTTTTAATATTATTCAAAATGTGGGTAAATGTGTCATATTAATATATGTATATATATATATATATATAGATTTGACAGGCTGCCATGATCGTGTGAAAGCTTCAGTTGTATGGTACATATGTCTTGTGTTTACATGACTTATTCCACATTAGATATTTCTGACTAACGTTGGATCCATGGAATGTAATACATATGCATGTGTGAACATGCGTGTGTATTTGTGTGTATGTATTATGGCATGTCTGCTGAAGGCCTGAATTGTGAAACTAGCACATACAGCCACTGTTAGGGAATGGCTCTGCAAACACACCTGTTACTAGACAACAGCTTCATATCATGCAATACATGCTGAGGCTACACAAGGAATCAATTGTGTGTTAGTTGGAAGCCAGTTCAGCTCAAGAACTGCAGCTGAACGGTGCAACTGGACATGGAAGCGGAGAACACTAGTCCTTTGGAAGCCACTACCAAGCAGCACTCTACTCTTTTGATGAATACCTATTGTCTAAAAAATGACTCATCCATTTAAAGGTTGTGCAGGTAACATAAGATGATAGTATTGATTCATATATGTGGATGTATTTTTGAATAGTCTCATGTGTAACCACTGTGTTTTCTTGGGTTTTCTTATGTGAAAACTTCAATTGTAGTGTATTTATATGACATATTTCACATCCGACAGTCACTATGACTAACTCTGAATCCAGAGAATGCAATGTAATGTAACATAATGTAACGTAATATGCTGAAGACCATGACTGGGGACACCATTCTGTGTGTGATGGTGATTTGTGAAGTGTAGTCACAAGTTGTTAAAGCATCAAATAAATCTAACTACCAATCCAAACCCCATCTATAGTCAGTCCATCACATGACAATATGTACGTACTATCCCAGCATCTGACTGCAGAGGCAGCCCAGCTGAGATTTTCACAACATACCAACTATATACAAGTCTAGAGCTTCACTCTGCACCAAACTGCTCAGTAACGCATGGTTTTGTTCTTTAAATAGGAGTTCATAAGACAGAGGTATCACTGTGTTCACACTTAAGAAAATATTAGACTATAGACTAGAGAAACTAATGGAAAGTTCATTATCTCAACAACTATCTTGCTACATTGTCATGGACTGTATTTATTTTCACCTTCTAGAATAGGATTTGCCTCAAGGATCTGCTGTTCAATCCAGGAATGTTTCCCACTTACGGCTGCCAAATAGCGTAGAATCAGTTTTGTGCTTTCCGTCTTTCCTGCACCACTCTCACCACTGTGAAATCCAGATTAATGAATATATTAAAATCTAATCCAATATTGATAATTAACATTCAAAAGGGTAAAAATATTGTGAAATTATTTGGTAGCTATACCAATGCACTGCCTTTCCTTCATGTACAATCACTGCATCATCTGCTGCCTTTCCTTCTACATCAGCTGCAGTGATAGTGAGAGTGCATCATCATCATAGAATGAAATTTACAAACATCATAGGAGATGCTGAATACAGTCTCCATACATCGCTGACTCGCAACACCGCCAGATGCATCCATGGCTACCAGATAGCGAAGTGGTGTAATGCATGTTCGTTGCACTCTTGTTTTGCTCAAGATGATAGAACATTTAGAGCAGCGATACTGCATAAAGTTTTGTCAGAAACCTGGGGATACCCAAGTGGAAACAATCCGCAAAATTAAGCAGGCTTTTGGCGATGATGCAATGGGGGTCACTCAAATTAAAGAGTGATTCAACTGCATTAAAGATGGCTGTATGTTGGCGGACAGTGACCAGCGTTCCGGGAGACTGTCAACAAGCCGAAATGCTGATGTCATTGAAAAAGTGCAGACACTGATCATGGAGGACTGTTTGACCATCTGGGAAGTTGCTGATGAGGTTGGGATCAGCAGAGGTTCTGCAAATAC